GCAAATGCATATTTTCTAAAAAAAGTCAATTTTTAGTGAAATTTTGCCGGGAATGGGGCTTTAATATAATAAAAATACAGTAGAATTGTGTGATTAGATATTCCCTCAGAGAGCTGAGTACTTTGCCTTTAGTGTTTGATCAAATGTTATTATTTATTAATTTGATGGTTTGCTCAACAACAAAAAATGAAATACAGTAAGTCAGAACACATTTTCTATTTTTCTCTTTATTCACTCTATCAGGCACTCAACATACAATATTCATCCACATTGCTTTGATCTGTCTTCTTCGTCCTGCACAAGTAATTATAATCCTAAATTAGAACTTTGAATATAAATACTGTAACAAACAAGTACAAAAGAAGTATAACAAGGCCTTTGTGCATCGATTCAAAAGCACATTACACATGTATGTCACATCTTGTTATTAGTAACATAGGCTTTGAGTCTTTGACATTTACATGTAGAAGTTCTATTCTTTGCAATGATTCCCATCAGAGAATTTGCTAAGCAGCACAATATTTACATCCGCTTGTTAATGGCCTAGTTCAAATCTGTGACAATATCACTGGTTGCCATTATCTCTATCTGACAGGAATCCATCAATTGCTGTCATAGTAACAACTTTTCAGCAGGGATGATATTTCCTACGAATAATAACAAAAGCTTCTAGCTCACAAGACCTGGGAGAAAAAAATAATTGAAAATGATTATAATCATGTAAATATCAACTACAATAAACGTAATAAAATAAACATTAACTGAGATGCAGTCACACCCATCGAGTATACTCGTGATAGATAATAAAATATATTTAAAATTAATTAATATCAATATAAATAGTTTCTTACCGAGGTAATCATCCATGAGTGATCCAATTGCAAACTATGAAAGCAAAAACAAACAAACAAAAAAAAAATTATTAACTTTACAGTAATATCAGTCTCGCACATCATCAGATCAATGCAGCTCAGTATACGCAAAACGATCAAAACAAAAATTTAAAAAACTCACAATATCTGAGGCATCTACCCTGGTTCCCACAATCTTTAACCTAATTTCATC